AATTCCTAACGGTTTAACACCAGCCGACGTCATTTGTCTGGCAGAATCGGCCTGCTCGCTGTTTAGCTTTCTACATGTCGAATGACCAGACGGATGGAGTGACGGCTCGTATTTGTGGCATCCATTCATCACGTTTAACTTCTTTTTACCCCTTTTTTGGAAAAATTTCCACTTATAAGGATCAGGCAATCAATTCGGCGTGAGCTGGTCTGGCTTTGGCGCTCTTTTTAAACCTGTAGTACGTTTACGGCACATCTATCACATTTAAGGTAGACACTCTTTCCTGCAATCGAACTTTTCATCGTAACAGCATAGCCTTGGCCACGTGCGAACGTCTGCACAGTATCCATAAGTTGATCACGACTGGCATACTCAACCTCGGGAGGAGGAAGCATGTTATTTTGTGGTGCCCTATCAGTAAACGCTGGATAAGCTAGACTACAGGCTTGAGTAGTACCTTAGGTATTTCTTACGTATTACTTGCCAAATAATGGCCTAGATCATCGAGTAATAATTTTGTCAGAAAACAAATATAAAAATGATTAGGGATCTATATTTAGGAATTTGAAGGAAGGGTGTGATTCTAAAAAAGAGGGTGTGAGTTTAGCAATTCCCTATTTTTAATATGTATCTTAGTTCTACAATGTACCAGTATATACCACCGCACTTGAAAAATAAACGAGTAATAACAGGTAAATAGTAATGTAGTCCGACAGCAATTTATCGTTTGGCGGGTCCGTGGCCATGATTGGTGGCGTACTCCGTTGCCCATCACATCTACATTCATGGATACATGCACCCGATCTGCGGATCAACTCTCGATGAGGAGCCAATTGGCCATCTGTTTCACTGCTCGCGCTTCGCAACAAATTTGTTTACACGCCCGATTTATGTACCAGTTGTCCCCACATTTGTGCGCGGCCTCTGTGCTAATGGACCAGAGCCGTCAAAGAACGACCCGCCTAGCTTGACACAAGCCCCTCCTACCGGATGGCTACCTTTGAGCGACAAGAAGGCTATCTGCAATAAGTCAAGAACTATCGCACTCAACAATTAAGATCGCACAGCTTGGCAAACTAATTTCTTGGGTTGCCGATGAGGAAGTTAGTGGCGATGGTCAGAGGGTCTCCATGCAACATCCGTCGACGAATTTCTGGCAATAGTCAGCTTAAATACGCGCAACGCCAGTCTCACGAAGGCAGCGTCGCGAGGGAAGCGTCAAGACAAAACTTTAGCTTGCACCTGCGAATCGCACAAGCTGTATGCATTAGCTGCCGAGGGTCCATATGTTCACCGTCAAAAGCAGTAATGGTAAACGGAACACCGCACAGAGGTGGGTTTCGTGGCTTTTTCCACAGTTGTTGGACAAGTTCTACCAGTAAAATAGGCAGAATTAAATTTCATGTACTGTATATACGATAGATAGCACCAGAATCGACACATATTAAATGGGCCGTTCAACGCGAGGAGCGTCGAAGATTATGTAGCAGTTCTGACATGTAAATGAATTTGAAATGGATTTATACATTCATGGGTAACAATCAGATTGAACTTCATTCCCAACATGGCAAAAGCTTTTAAGCGCTAAAATGCATAGATTTTTCGCACGGTAGTTGTTGCGGAGCTACTTAGAGGTCCTTAACAGAGGAATTATCAGTCTCCAAGAGTCTCTTAGTTATATCAAACTAACAAAGCCGTACAGTCGCGCAAGCGTACACGCTTATCAATCCCGGTTCCAACGGATTACGATTCACAGAATTAGACACTAACTAGACACTACCAGTTAAACAAGAGTAAGCGCCTACACAAGGCTAAGACTCTTAGCGACACATTACGCCTTTATTAGGCACTTGTGTCCTACGATTCAAAAGGTCAACTGAACTTTACTTATTCTTAAATACGATAATAAATCCAATAATAGTGTCTGACTGACTTTGACATTGCGATCCTACGACAAAAGCCTCATCCCTTATCCCCACCCAAAACTGTGCGGTATCACCGTAAGTACAGGGTATCAATTCTGTACAACTCAGATCCACCGATCTATGCTTGCTGTGGACACACAACATTTCAGATTCAATAACCACGTGTAACTCCATTACAGCCCTCCTATTACTCTATCAGCTATTTCTCTACCCGCAAGCGACGTTTGGCACGCACTAAAGCACACTGGGCACAAGGCGTCCCGATTCACAAAGAAAATCATCTTGGCGACGACTTTCGCGTCAGTCATAGTCTATGCGCTAGCTACGTCGAAAACATCTCTTACCTTGAATAAAAGTTGAAAGATAAGACACGTGCGGGTTGTTAAAAAAAAGAATTGGTGTATAATTTAAACCCACATGAAGCAGCATAGGCTTTGGCGGGCCTTACCTGTTTTCAAACGCATCGCAATTGCATTGTAAATCGAGTAGTAGCTAAAAAAAAATCTGAGTAGGGAGAACGATAGCACACATTTGTCGTACGGAGGTCGTTTATTTGTACAATAACAGGTCGGTGTAGAAATTTGTACTCATTCCCAGCGCTCGCAAATCATACGGATGGAAGAAGCAGAAAAATTGGCTTAGAAAGATCCGTAAAATTGGACTTGTGGCAGGTGCCAGGGATGGCACTCACTTCGCCAATAAACAACCGATCAAAAATTTCTTTTTAATGTGTACATTAACCGCAACGGATTTGCCTCTATCGCATGTCAAGTGATAGCTGATGCCATTACAACTTTCCTATAGTGAGTGTTATCCTCAAACAATGCATTATTAATTTTATCTGATTGCAATTCTCTAGGTCTACGTTGGTTGGTCTAAGAACGTACATGAAAGTCGCTCGCTACGTAGATCGTCACTAATCCAAAAATGCAATGAAAAGGATCACTGATGCCCGCTATGTACTTCCTGTATGGAGATTCTGGGTACGGAAAGTCAGACTGGATGATATGCCGTATCCTGCTACTTTTTTACCGAGGCTTATCGATAAAAATGGTTTTTATAGCCTTTATGTCATTACAAATCGTTGTTACGCAGGCTTTTAAACGGCTAGAATCGCAATGGCGCGCATTGATCGACGAGCGTCACAACGTTCGTCTATCGACGCAAAAATTCCATTGCATGCATAATTTACATAATATTGTGAGTTGGATCCTTGTAAATTCATTATCCACCTCGTAGTACATATCTGTTATGTCTTGTGTTTAACAAAAGGCGTTCCATTTGAAGTTAATCATGGCTGCTAGGCTCAAAAATTATCACAAGAGATGTACAAAGACTAAATGAAAGCATTTAATAAAAAATAGAGAATTTAATTTGGCAGCAAAACTTTATTTAAGCACAAAGGTTAAATTACATTTTACTAACCAATCTTTGGTGGAAACAAGAGTGCAAAAGTGGCTTCAGAACGCAACCAAAATGTTATGAAGTGAGATTCGCTCGTTTATGTAGCGATCCTGACCTCCCACTTGCGCCCGGACGACCGACTAACGGAGGGGGTTCTCCGGACCGTGTGTCTTGTCTTGTCTTGTTCCTTCTCACCTTGTGTACCCGTCGGCGGGCGGTTGCACTCTTCTAGGTGTCTTGAGGTCGATGTCTTGTCTTGACCGAGTTGATGATAGGTGGGGTGTGGTCGCGTGGTAATTCTTCACACGACCAACGGTTACTGGTGGCACTCTCCTAGAGTTGCCTGACCTTCCTTGAGGTCGCCTTGCCCAAATGTGGATACTTAATCTCCCCTGTTCTTCCGACCACTTGATCACCTTGTTCTTCTGATCACTTGAGCCGTCTGAAGACCTTGCCTTGTATGCTTGCCGCGTCCGATCGCGGGCTAACTTGAATGAGTATACTTGTCCCTAGCCAAGCAATCTAGGGACAAACCTTGAGCAAATACGTAAACAGTAAACCTTGTACGTCGGGTGGCCACTAGTATTCCAGCCCGGAAGAATGCTGACGCGTGTCTTTTTTGTAGGGAAATCAATAATGTTCGTTATTAACCTGTTAGGGGCTAGAACTACGTTTACACTTCTCTTTATATCAGTTTTCTGCTACGTTGTTCGCCTGCCACCACCCATTCCCTGTACTTGAAGTGAACCGCCTTAACTGCCAACATGACCGCTAGTCATATTGCAGTGAACATGACCACTGGTCACCCATCGTGACCGTGACCAAGACCACTGGTTACCCATCGTGACCATGACTACTGGTCACCCATCATGACCATGACCACTGGTCACCCATAGTGACCATGACCGGTCAGTCATTCGTCGTAACCCTAACCTGTGGTCATAATCTGTGACCGCCACTGATGACTCGCAAACTGTCCAGCTTATCGTTGGGGATTTCTGTAGCGGTCAGTCCCAAGACCGTCGTGACCGGTCCCACATGCACTTACGAGGTGATCAAGGCGATTGGTCAGGATTTCCTTTGACCACTTTACCGCAGTCGTCCCCTGCTCTGTAAACCGGCAGCCGGTGCCGATCTGGCTAAGCAATTTTTATCTGCCTTTCTCTGATAATTGCTGGAGATGTCGTCGCCATCTCACCATGCTGTCAGGCAACCCCTGCCTTCAGTTTCAACGTCTCCTCAGCTGACTCTGCTGCAATCGGCCAACTTTCTCTAGATAAAGAAGATCACACTGGCCTTGAACTAGACGTTACCGGCAGCACTGAAGCTCGCAACGCTCGAACCGCGTCTTAAACCGGCACCACGTATTAGTTCCGGGCACCCTCAGCTGAGTCAGAAAACCTGGCTGCTTACAGCGTTGGATCCACAAAGGTCCCTGCGGACGTCGATCCCTCGGCCGACGTCGAGAGTATATAGCAATCAAGCAATTAATGTGGACGCGACCGATCCTGACCAAGCCGGCCCTGCTCCGGCTGCCCACCTCGCCGACCCTGTTGGCTTTTTGGTCGGATCTGATTGCGCCCTGGCGGACGATGCCTCTTCTGCCGATGCTGACGTGGGTAGTGACCAAGTGCATGAGTGGGCACGATCGAGATTGACCAGTTAGCTAAAATGTGTGAGGACCTACGGCGAGCGGTAGTGGAAAGTGAGCAGCGTGTTGCTCCACTGCGGATCAGTTTCGATGCGCTTGCTCGCAGCTTTGCACAACGTGGTCGGGAGCTTGACCAATTGAAAACGGAGCGCTATTTAAGTCACCAAGAGCTTCACCGTTTGCGCTACTCCCATGCTGCTTATGCCAAGGAACTAGCACTGTTGCGAGCCGAACGGGATCTGCTTTGTCGCAACCGCCAAGCCCAGCTTATCCATTTTATCAACTTCGTTTTGGGGCTTTCGCCATCGGTGGAGCTCGCCAATGATAAGCGGCGGAGAGAGCAGTAAGCGGCCGATCCTGTGCCACTCTTGAACAAGCGTGCGTGCGTTACGGTCACCTCAAGTTCGGCTTCTGATTCCCCATCTGCCGTGGTACCGCCCGTAGACCATGTGACCCAACAGCGATCCGCTTCAAACCCCCCCGGTCATCCTCGCGTTGCCTTCGGACCAGATTCGTCTGCCAGCCCTTCCTCTACGGTCGCAGGGCCCGCCGGCCCAACTACCCATTCAAGATCGGTATATACTCACCTTAAGTCCCGGCAGGCGTATCACCCTCGCCTTGACGTCCCCAAGATTCCAGCATGTACGACCACAAAATCGTCCAAGCCCAAGACCGTGACCACGCCACCGTCTGTTATACCTCGGCGGTCACAGACGCAAACATGAGCGCGTTTTCCCTAGAATCTCATTTGCAGGATAGCGACGGCTCCGTACAATCTGCCGACGAGTCCATGCTCATCGCAATGTCACGGTCCCGTATTTCCGTTCGACGGCGGTCTTCTGCCTCGATCACAAGATCTACTGATGGGTTGGCTGACACTACTATCGAGATCGATCCAGCCAGTCATGCACCCGCGACTCGTCCGGATACGTCAAGACGTGCTACTCGTACTTAATCGACCGTCTCCCTGTCGCCGCTCATCGCTTCGACACCTCCGACCGCAGATCCACCCAGGGCGTCCGACGAGTCCGATGGGTCGGTGAGGGTACCAAGCTACGGTCATGCCCCAATGAACAATCTCTTATTCCCTACCGCCTTCAAGGCTTTATCCCCGTGCGGTCCTAGCGCGATAAGTGGAAACCTGGGTATCGCACTCGTGCATCTTATGCCCCTGACCAGTTTTCGCCGTGGTCATCCCATCGCTTGGGCTTGGTCACTGTAGGTCACCTGGACTTGTATCACCTGTTCCACTACTACGCTCGGCCCAAGCACTACCTTTTCCCCATTCCGGAAGGTTCCCTGCGTCCGCCAACTGAAGCTCAGTGGTCTCCGCGGCTAGTGATCTCCGCCCAGATCGCTGCTTTATGCAGCCAAAAACCTTGGGACGTCTTGAATCAGCCTATTGCTCCTCTGTCATTCCGCCCGACTGGCTGGTTCCAAGCTTTAATGACTGCGTATCGTGAGTTCGAAGCCCTTCATCGCCAGGCGTTGTGGGAGTCTACTCATGTGCTCCCGATCATCGTGGGTCCAAGTCGCGCGAAAGACGCTGAATTGAGCATCTTCTGTGAAGAAAGGCGTCGTCGGCGTTCCCGATCGAGCCACCGGTGGAAGGCTGTACTCCGGATTGTGCTGGAGGGGTTGGTTGGGGGTCAGTGTGACCTCGACATCCTGTTGGACCCCTTCTTCCTGCACTTTCCAGGACGTTAAAGAAATGTTGGCGGTATCCAGGGTTTGGCTGTCGACAGACCAACATCCCGAATCTGGGCTCAGCCTTACTCCTTACGTATTTCGCTGACCCCTGGCGCAATCAATGTCGGGCAGCCACTGCTGACCATCCAGGCTAGTCCATCGACCTTCTCCAAATCAAGTTTGCAGCGCAGTGAAAGGTCGTCTCCTGCATGAGAGACCAATGACGTTTATAGTCACAGTCATGACTACCAGTCGCTGCTTATTAAATTTACTTCTGTTGTAGTCTATTCACCAAGTTTTCTTGTTTCTGTGTACACCGCTTTGGTAGAACATCTAACTTCTTTTCATCTATAGCTTACGCAGTCATTCCTCCTCCTTTCACAGGCCAGGCAGTCACAGTTTTGTTGCCGTGGTCACCGCTCTTGGTCATCTCAACTATATGATCACCATGTTAGTTGACCTTGTCACTCCTTCACATTCATGGATCACAAGGTCATCCCTCGATTACCTGACAGACCACACAGTTCCATGCTTCAAGGCCGCGGTTACCGTCTCTGGTCACTTTAACATCTAAATTCTTCTTTATGGACTCGCATCACTATAAAACGGTTTCGCCTGACTCGATCACGTTCAAACTCTTGCAATAAAGCACCACAATTGATTTACCTCATCCACCCAAGTCTCATCCTTACGACCCTTCCATCGGACCAGGAACTGTCGGTGTACCCTCCCGAACCGAGTCTTTCGTCCTGTTCTCACATCTCGGATACTATCCATTTCGTATTCTTCTTCGGCTAGATCGTTTTCCCAGCTGTCCTCTGGAAGCAGAACTTCATCAAATTTAACACGCTCTGTTTCTTCCACCTCCAGCCGCGCAGCAGGTCGATCAGGGAAAATTCGTACTAGCTTCAGCTTGGATACGAGAACGAGTAGAATAATTGGGATGGGGTCCCTTGTACCTCCTCCACACTGCTTGTTCCCCGTACTTCTCGATCACCAGAAACGGGGTGTGCCACATGTGAGCCAGCTTCCTTACATACCCCTCCTTCACTCGATTCAAGTATAGCCACACTTGGCTACCGCGCATGATTCCATTTAACCCTAAATTAACGTTGTGCTGGTCAGCCCGGTCTTAAACGGTGTCCTCTTGTCGGTCCTTGACCGTAGCGCGGGCTCGTTGATATTGGCTCTGTGTGTGATAGCGCCATCTCGGGGGATCCCTATCACGTCTTTTAGTACATCCCAACGGCAGGGTCGCTTCCAGCGTTGATCGCGGATCCCAACTAAGGATAAGATAGAACAGGGTATCGCCCCGTACTCGGTCCGGGTCCGTATTGATGGCGAAGGTGAGGCGTTCAGCGTATTCGTCCCAATTTTGGTGGTTCACCTCCGTGACATACATTGGAGTGCCCTGGTCAATGTTTGGGCCATACGTTCAGCTGTACCATTAGCTTGAGGCCGATACGCCATTGTGGCACGTTGTTTCTAACCAGCGATGCGATCGAACGCGTAAAAGAAGTTCGACATTAATCCGGGTTCGCGGACGTGACGAATAAATTCCTTTGCCCCAAACCGCCGGAAGACACATTCTTCATACCCTTACGCGATCTTCTGGGCCGTTCTTGAAGAGCTAGCTTTAGCGATCACGTAGCCAAATCAATTCCACCTAAAGCAACAGTTTGACATTCCCGTTGAAATACCTGGGTGAAGAGGGGATATTATCTATTGCAATGATCTGGAACGGGTACGTGGCCTGTAAATTCCCTGGGAATTCCTCTCGTAGGATCGGACATCCTTTCCCGGTTTTGCAGTCGACGCACTTTCCCACATACAGCTGTACGCTTATAAATAATCCTCTTCATTGAAAGTGCGATCGCGCGCGGTAATACGTTCGGCCTACCCCTTGGTGACCACCTTCCAGACTTGCATGGTAGTATTGTAGGACAACAACGTGCAGTCATTCCGGATTAACCAAACGGACGAGCTTCGCGCGGTCACTGGGGTTTGCTGACACTCGTGGGCAAAAAGATTATAATCCACCTTCATCCGTAATCTGGGGCAACAACCGCACTTGCCTTTGCTTCCGTAGTATCTAATTTGGTCACATCCCCGAATAGGTAAAATTCGAGGTTGGCGATCCAACTTTCTTAATCTTGTGCTTGCTTTATGCGCTCCAGTCGCACATGCTGTATTTTTTCTCTTGCATAATCGTGAGCACTTCACGCCTTCGTATGGCTGATCGTGTAATCGCCACTATCTTGGCCACTTGATTTTTGGTCGCTGGTACTAATATCTCGTCCATTCGGCTCATCGCTTGTAAATCATGGCAATCCTGCTCCGTTAGCCATCCCATGCCTTTTTCCAGCTGTAAAGCAGAGCTAGCCAGTCTAGAGGCAATTTGATTCCAATCGCGCTTAACATGTTAGAATTCATGAGTCGTCCATGATCGCAGTATATATAGGTCCATAAGACGTATGAACTTCAGTCCCGGTGCCTTGCAGTCAATTTCAGCCCTCACCTGCCTGATGACCATCTTGGATAATCCCACAAATGACCATACCTTCCCCTTGTCTGCTTGGCCAACAACTCGCAACTCATCAGCAATACATGGTAATCTGCCTCGTTCTCGGTGCACTAAGTGTCGAATCGCGAAGCAGCCGATACTATAGTCCACTCGGAAAGCTTCCATACAATTGCGCTGTAGGCGTCCCCTTTATTCTTAATACGGGCTGCTCCATCACAGCTGACGACAAGAAGAGATTCTTCGCTTCTTGTCTTATTCTGACCATAGGGGGCGGCATACTGATAATCTGTCTCGGTTGCTTACGGGGAGCGATCGCGATTGACATTTCATCCACATTTTCCCGTAATTTGATACTTGCGGCAAGAGTGCCAAGAATTTCGTCCTCTCCTTTGTTTCATCAGTTAATCATCAGAGTCCAAGTTAAAAGTAAAGCTGCCCATCTTCCAAGTCTTACGGTAAGGCCCAATGATTGCATTAACCACGCCAGAGCTGAATACCGTGTGAGCACCTTAAGGTCCTGCCATACTAGGTGTATTACAAACATCTAATATCCGGAGCAGGGCCAGGACTTCTTTCTCCACCACACCGTAGTTGATTTCATTCGGTTTTAACGTGCGAATTGTGAACATAACAGGCCAATTTACTCCATCTTGTTCTTGCAACAAAGCTGCGGATACCGCCCATTTGCTGTCATTAATTACTGTCACTAGCCGACGATCAGGGTCACCGTGTCTTAGCACCGGGGTCTGGGCAACTTTTGCTTTCAGCATTGTAAACGCGATGATAGCTTTATCCCAACGATGACCACTTGTGTGTTCGCCATAAGACCCCTCTGTATTCGGATGGTCGTGACCATCCATCTTTTTCATTTGTTTATCACAGCTACCCATCAGCCTCTGAACGTGGTCATCGTCGATCTGGGTATCATCATCGTGGTCTTAGTGTGTCGCATGATCATCCTTCGAGACGTCCAACCGCCTAATCTTGTGGAAGTTCGCCTCTCTCAATTCGTACAGGATTGAGGCGCATATGGCGAAATCTTCAATGAACCGGCTGTAGTAATTCAAGCTTTCCAAAAAAGACTGCATTGACCGCAATGTTTGGGAAAATGGGATATTGGCCAACGACCCTCATTCCTTCGGGTCGGCTTCTATTCCTGATATCGACACCTGGTGCCCGAGATACTCAACCTTGCGTCATCCTACACACTCTTAGGTAAACTGCTCGACATATGTTACTGATCACAGACTTCCAGCTGTCTGTTTACCTTTTAATGGGAGACGTCTAGGACAACGCCGGGATCAGAATGTCATTAATATAGGACCTCCGCCCCAACACTGAAGAATTTCGGTGCGGGTCCGGCTCGCCCGTGCGTGAACACGTCGACCGGTTGTGACACCTCGCGACCACTTGATCTTCGCTGTTCGCCGATGATGAAGTACCCGTACAATGCATTATCTACCATACGCTGGTATATCTGCGGCGTTTTATTGAACCCGAACGGCATACGTAGCCATTCATACAGACCTGAAGGCGTAAAGAAAGCAGAAATAATTCGTCCTCTCTCCGTCATTTTTACAACCCAGAATCCGCTGGCCATATCCAATGAACAGTACTATAGCGCTTTGTATAGGTCCTGCAGTAGGTCGTTGGTCAAGGGCATGGGATATATTATCAGCCTCGTAAATTGGTTGACTCTTCGGTAATCTATACATAGTCGTATATCTACCCCATTCTCTTTCACGATCACTACGATCGGCGATGCCCACGGCGAGGTTGAGGGGCATATAATCTTCGCCGATAGTAACCCTTTAATTAGGTCCGCCAACTTTTCACGGAACTTAAGGGCGACAGGCCTCACTCGTTGTGCTATTGGGGTCGTACCTCTCACATCTATGTCACATATCACGCTTCGAGCCGCAGGTGTGGGCGTTTCCCTTGCCCATCAACAGACGTCTTTCTTCCAGATCAGCTGGCGTAATTCTTCTTGCTTTTTCGTCAATGGAACCCCTGGTTTGCTCACCTGTATATCCTCAATCTTCACCTCGCATAGCGTCATACCCACGTACAGTTAGACTGCCATGTGTTGACCAAAATCTTCCGCAAATAATGTTCACCTGCTTGACGGTATGACTTGCACTCCTGTTCGCCTTCGCCGGTGACCGCTGCTTCTCGGTCTCTTAGATGGTCGGGCGGTCGATTCACCTCCCCATCCCCAACAGTAATTCCATCTGGGGAATCAGGGGATTTGTTTTGCATATGATCAGGTATCATATCCTTGATCGATTAGGTTGTGAGCCTCTCTTCACACTCGTGTAAGTGCATTTCAGACTGCTCGTGCACCAACGTCGTATCATTCATCGCAATAATAGGGTTGACCAAGTCGGGGACGTTGGCGATCGCGTAGAAACTCTCTCTGGAGTTCATTTTTTTGTTCCTGCCGATCATAAACCTAATCACAACCCGTATCTCGTGTGGTGATCGCATCAACAGCTACTGGTGATCGTTTTGATGTGGTCCTTTATGATCCCATTGGTCATCCACCTGGCCACATGTTGGCACATTGTTTTCCCATTCCGCTTCCTCTCTCCCCGCGGTCATCTCTACCATATTCTGTGGAGGTCGTTTTAAAATCTGCGTTGGTGCTGGGTAAGACTGAATTTCTACCAAACGTCCTTCTGCTTTTGGTACTTCTTCTTCTTCATCTCTATCTGCAGAAGCTTCGTATGCACGTGTTTGCCAATCCTGATATCGACGTGACCCTACTGACACATGCCTGGGTGACCGTGGTATCATGTCCGCCGGCATCCATTGCCCGAACGGCGCCCCCTGTTGGAGAATCCCCTCTTAATCGGTAAAGTTGATTAGGCGGAGGTACGTAAGTCTTCCGAGTCCGGTCATTGCCGTGGGTGCCCAACGTGCGTGGCGCGTTGATTACAATTTCGACTGCAGTGGTCCCCGACCAACATTGACCTCTACTGAGTCACCCACCGGTATCGCCAAATTATTCTCATCCGCAGCAGTTTGTTGTATCTTCGCCCCATTTGGTGATCTCTCACCTTCCAGTTGAATTCTGGCTTCGTCCGGCAAGCACACTGATCCGTCTGCCATGATAAGGCGTATTCCAGCCGGTAACATGAACTCCATCCCTAGACTTGCTTCTTGTCCCACTTAGTTACCCACCCATACATTAAAGTAGTAAACCAATGAGCCATTCAGCGTGTCTTCACCTTTGTGCGGCTTTCTGCCATGTTTAAAATTTCTTCGGTACCCACGCATTCTTGCTTTTGACTCTCATCTATGACACAGCCAACCTTACGAGCAAAGGTTGTGTCGATGATTTAGACTTCAGCTCCCGAGTCAAAAAATAGGGTGGCCTTCTTATTGTTGTTTTTTCCTCCCGCCTTGGCTTGTCTGAACCACTTGTTTGGAGTATGGTGCTTCCAGTAACTACGTGGTTTGCCAGGAGACAACTTAAGTTCCATCTTTGTAGGTGATCTTGCGTATTTATCCGGTCGCCGCAAACTTGAAATTGATGAAAAAGAACTAGATTCCAAATCGCAAGTACCAAACGTCCGGTGGGATAGTCGATTAACACTGTTATCAACCCCTCATTTCTCAATAAATGCGAATGTGCATAGCCTAGAACGCTCGGCTTGTACCGGGTTCCAACCTGGCGCGCGTCCTAGTTTAACATCTTCTCTGCGTCGGGAGGAAGCATTCCGGCGTGTTTGGTCGGCACGTACAACTTGCGAAGCAAATTGTAAAATTTTTCCATCAGGCAGTTGCCCCCGTCGAGCACTTCTCCACACGCTGCGCATCCTTAGAAACACTTATCGGAGGGGTGACCTAGGCGCACGCATTTCTGACAAGTCAAGCGTTTCCAGCATCCCCTGACATCATTTCTTTTGGAACCACAATATGTGCACGACTTGTGCCCTTCTGCACTATCGTGATCACGTTTACGGATATTCGATCTTGGCTTGGTCGGACGATCAGTTCCCCGGTCCTTCGTATGGTCGGCTCATGTGGCGCTGTAAACACGTCGTTGCTCTTCGTCTGATTCCCCACTTCTTATATCTGATTACGGCGAACTGCTTTCGCCCCCACGTGGATTGCACGCACAGCTCGAGCCGGTTCGGATGGACTCAGAGAGCATGGCGACGCTGATGGTGAGAGAAACTTGTCTGAACTGATCGGGAGATTGCCTTTGCGCTTTTGCATACGTTCATACGTGTGCAGCGTTAACTCCAGCGTATCCACGTCGTCCAAACGCGGCAAGGTCAATTTCTTTGCGAGATCGTGGTCATCCAGTGTCTCGATATAGTGTTTAATGTGTTCTCGGCGATCAGCGACGTTTCTGTCCTATACGTAAATTTTCGCTTGCATCCCAGCATCTTTAACCATTGGAGGTATTCTAGCGGAATTTCAATGGCACGGTTGCAGGCGTGATAATACTGGCGACCAGCAGAGATGCCGCGTCCACAGTACTGTAGTAAACAAATCTCCAGCAAGTCTTCCCACTTATTGCGTGTCAACCGGCTTAGCTGGACGTACCAGTTTCATGCGGGGCCGGTTAGACAATCTCCAGAAACCAAACATTTCTCCGAATCGGGGGCTTGGTCACGCAGGAAAGCTTATTTGACCTTTCGCACCCAGCTTCGAGCGCGGTCATCATCGTGATCGCGACCTAAAAACTCCTTTAGATCGGCGATCGCAGACATGCGAATCCGCTGCGCAGCAAATCCTTCTCCTATGGTAGCTTCCGTTGTAGCCAAGTGAGGTCGACGGACGCCGTCAATGTCGAGGTCGTCAGGGTCAAAGGTGTTGCCGCAACTACCATGCGAGTCAGCCGATTCCATGTCCGTGTCTGGTAAACCTACCTTGAACACCTTGTAATTGGGGTTGGGGCGACTGGTCGGTTCAGAACGTGGCGTCCGTCGCTGTTGGTCTCGCATGAACTTTTACATGTCCTTTGCAAAGAAGATTTGCATCTGGTCGGGGTCATCCGTAGCATCGACTGGCTCTTTAGTGAGTCTCAACGGTCCGGTGGCTTAGGTCGGATGCTCGTGGTGGTCACGTAAAAGTGCTGCACCGGAAGGTCCTAACGACATTACCTTTATTTCCAAGTCGTCGCTATCGTCCGCAATCGACTCTGCCGAAGCGTAATGTGACGACGCCGCTGGTAAACAGTCTTCCTCTGTGACCATGATACTTATTGTGAGCTCGCGATCAGCGGAGTCATAGTTGCCGGTCAGTGGGACCAGCGCTTTGAACAGTGATCGGCTGGCCGTGATCACTTATTCCAGGTTTCAGTCAAGCAGAACCTGCGCGTCAAACGTACCCGGCACAAATTATGCGCCTTGCAGCAGTTGAATTAGACGTTGCACCGCTTCCATTTTGCTAGCTGCTGCTTGTGGAGTCGGTGTCGGTCCCCGAAGCGGTCCGATCAGCTCTGGTTCCAAGATGGTCAACCCTGGGTCCGTTGAAAGCAACGCTTGAAGCTGGGTCCAGTGCAAACGAAGTTGCAGCTGATCGATCTATCAACGTTCCATCTTGACCTCTGCTGTCCTGCTTATTTCTTGGTCAGGCGCGCGTAGCTTGGGAGCCGTAGCCTTCTACCTTTTATATTTTCTTAGTGGATGGTTTTGTTTTTAGACAAAACGTGTCCTGCTTTGGCTGGACTAGTTTCACTTAGCGGATCTTACTGCAAAGTACAACCCGATTCGATCGAGCCCCTTCCAAAACTCTGCCGAACCGAGGGTCCTTTATAATCACGTGTCTGCTACGATCCCTTCTTCGCCGACACTTCCATCCCCATTTCAACATTGATCTTAACATCTTCTTTCTGCGATTCACGGTGAAATCCCGAGGCACCAGAAGATCCGGGCACGCGCAAATTGTGGTGGAGTGAGATTCGCTCATTTACGTAGCGATCCTGACCCCCCACTTGCGCCCGGACGACCGACTAACGGAGGGGGTTCTCCGGACCGTGTGTCTTGTCTTGTCTTGTTCCTTCTCACCTTGTGTACCCGTCGGCGGGCGGTTGCACTCTTCTAGGTGTCTTGAGGTCGATGTCTTGTCTTGACCGAGTTGATGATAGGTGGGGTGTGGTCGCGTGGTAATTCTTCACACGACCAACGGTTACTGGTGGCACTCTCCTAGAGTTGCCTGACCTTCCTTGAGGTCGCCTTGCCCAAATGTGGATACTTAATCTCCCCTGTTCTTCCGACCACTTGATCACCTTGTTCTTCTGATCACTTGAGCCGTCTGAAGACCTTGCCTTGTATGCTTGCCGCGTCCGATCGCGGGCTAACTTGAATGAGTATACTTGTCCCTAGCCAAGCAATCTAGGGACAAACCTTGAGCAAATACGTAAACAGTAAACCTTGTACGTCGGGTGGCCACTAGTATTCCAGCCCGGAAGAATGCTGACGCGTGTCTTTTTGTAGGGAAATCAATAATGTTCGTTATTAACCTGTTAGGGGCTAGAACTACGTTTACACTTCTCTTTATATCAGTTTTCTGCTACGTTGTTCGCCTGCCACCACCCATTCCCTGTACTTGAAGTGAACCGCCTTAACTGCCAACATGACCGCTAGTCATATTGCAGTGAACATGACCACTGGTCACCCATCGTGACCGTGACCAAGACCACTGGTTACCCATCGTGACCATGACTACTGGTCACCCATCATGACCATGACCACTGGTCACCCATCGTGACTATGACCACTGGTCACCCATAGTGACCATGACCGGTCAGTCATTCGTCGTAACCCTAACCGGTGGTCATAATCTGTGACCGCCACTGATGACTCGCAAACTGTCCAGCTTATCGTTGGGGATTTCTGTAGCGGTCAGTCCCAAGACCGTCGTGACCGGTCCCACATGCACTTACGAGGTGATCAAGGCGATTACTCAGGATTTACTCTGACCACTTCATCACAAAAATTCCTAAACTCTCGACGTTAGTGCTGTGCAGATATTTTGTCTCGATCTCTGCGGTAATCAATTTATAGCATTACCTCTGGTTGCATAATCGACGCAATCCTGCTATGCGTCGCTTCCATTTAATCTCAAACTTTTGGCGATCTTGCTCCATCTGAAGAAAGACTTGAACTCAACCTTTACTTTAATCGGCTTTGTTTGCGTGTCGTCGTTATAATAAAAGCGGTGCAGATTTGTGCGTTGGCTCTGACTCGTAGTTTCTTTCACTCCGACATACGACGAATCGTCTTAAGATTGGGGCCTCCGGTATATCTACCGTATCAATCGCATCAGATATCATGGTCCTCATTTTTTCTTGTTTATTTAGTCTTATTTTGATATTCATCAACCCCGCCGTCGAAATTTATCCGGTTTCACAGAAGTATTAACTGATTGTAAATTCGCCGTCACAATTCACGATGGGTCCTCAAGCCTAAACTCAATGATACTAGCCTCACCCGTCTTCTCTGTATTTTGTCTTTCTTTGCGTTACGTAGCAAGCAAGTTGTGAGTTTGTCGGTGGCTTGCTTAAGTTTCTACTTACTTAAGCCACGAATTCGCATCTTTAGTGTGAGAGTACGCTCACTTTCTTTGCTGACAGCAATTAGCGATAGCCCTGCCTATTTTTTGCAAAAATATGAGTAATTTTATATATACGACCAAAGTATGTGAAACATAAGGCTTGGTGTTTTCACTGCCTCGATTTTAATGAGATCCTTATGGTTGCATCCGAGTTGTGCTTTAATATCATTGTCTATCCTGTCAAATTTTTAAAAAAAAAGCCAAAAAGGAATAAATGCACGAATTACACAGGCCCAGAAAGTGTGATCCACATACAGTGGAAGACAAGTAATTACCAAAGCTGTTGGGTGTTCTTACCAGCAAGGGATTATTATTTATATAAAACCACAATTGGCGCGTAGACTGTGTAGTTGTCTGTCGTAGGAGTATCAAGCCTATGATCTGCGTAATTTTAAATTAAGTATATTTATGTCCTCGTCGTGGAGGATGACTACGTCAAATTTATTCAATTGGAAATAGTCTTTGCCAAAGATGGGCGAGCTCTTTCGTTCTCTTTAACGGACAAGGGTGTCATTAGTAAAAGAACTTGATTTGAGCAAAATACATCATAATCGTTATAATTGCTCAAAGCAAACCCCTCAACTATGATTAAATGGAATTTAGGGATGTATTTACAGCAGCAGTACCGTGCAAAACATTTAAGGACAAGCGTACTCGTCACAAAATAGATCTATAACCGGAATAAAAGTCTTTTATCATGAAGCAGTGGCCACGTCCTCGTGCAAAAGGGCTATTGATCGACTAATTTTTTTGCAGATCCTTTAGCAGCCGGTTATGGAAGGAAGCCAATCTGTCCACATAGCTTTGGGATCTTGTGTGATTAAGGTTGTAGGAGGGTGGCAGATAATACATGCCTTTAACCAATTTGAATGAAACAACTGTACCGACTTAAACGCTAAAAACAAGGGATGATGTCATCATCGATGGTAAGGCAAAGGACACCTGATTATTATCAACAGATCTGATGAAAGAAATTGATCAAGTACTTATGCGAGAAAGTCACATCCCATATAATACAGTGGACACATCAAGCGCTACGATTTAGGAGTCGTTCTGAATTTCAAATTGAATATGTGATGCCCCTGCCAAATCCAACACATGTATCAAAATATGTTAGGATCTGTACATAATAATCGCGAACAGCTGATGCGATGATGCATCTGTCCAAAGCCGGTCTTTGGATGGACATACGGATGTGAGAATTGCACCGACTTCAGGTTAAAACGTTTTTAACGTATGCGCGAGAAAAAGTAGTACGCCAATCTCAAGAAATGCACACATTCTCCTAGCTTAATTCAACTTTAAGACACAAAGTGGGTACACATAGCGTCCGGTCCGATCCATTGGAAATCAAAACAGTAATTGACTGTCCAGTGCCTGCAGTTGTATAGGACTTCTGGGGTACCTTGGCCAAGCGACGTCTTTGCACAAATGCTTTAACGATTATGCCGAGATGACTGCTCACCTTTTTGTTCATTAAAAAAAGCGAAAAGTGGCTATAGTGTGCCAAATGTCAGCGCTCTTCAAATCCATATAGCATTTCTTGATAACTTATCCAAATTTTCTGTTTGAAATCCAAGGCAGACCTTTTACGTGGTCTGTGATGCTAGCGACTTTTCAATCGGCTGTTCATTAATCGATTACGATGCAGACGGCGCGGAACGCGTCTTCTGCCATCATTCGCGTTAGCTACAATTAACAGAACGTGAATACCTCGTCTATGATAAGGAAAGACATTTAATTATGTTCGCGTTGGCTTATTTAGGGTCTACCTGCCAGGTGATAGACCTTTTTCTTGTCTATGCAGACCATAAGTTTACACTCACTGCCGTAAATAGTTTACTCCTCTATTAATGAATGCCAAGGCGGTTGTCAGTATTTGCGGAATTTAATATATCCATCCGTAGAGATTATATTGCGAGTAAAGATGTCGTTTTTGGATTAGTTTAGCGCCGATAAATTTTGTTGTGGCTGTATAACCCGACGCTGGTATGATAAGTGTTACATCACTGACCCCTAGCGACCTGTATTCATGCTTTCATCAAAAAGGGGGGCAAAAAAAAGACAATGATCCGGAGACATTGAATTTATCGAGTCATGTCTCGTAATGTTTTGTAAGATCCTCAACTAGCTATCGTCGGTGCATGAATACTCAACATAAATACACGTACACGGTTTTCAACCACTTACTGAAATATTAAGCTGCATCCGGCGATAATTCTCGTGTCGTCATATGAAAGCATGGTGATCTGCGGCTAGAAAATTCGATGACTACCACTTCGCATCTATTGATTAGACATCGCGATCACGAGAAAGTATAGATTAGTGTGAGCTGTACATTCTACTGACCTTGCAGTATTAATTCTTGCGGAGGTACGTCCGCACG